ATGTCACATTGACTACCATAAGTTCACCCACATATTTATTGGTTCGCAGCGAAACTGACCACGCTGTCCACACACTTCCCCCCTCAAGCTTCTCATTGCTACGATTAGGTGATTTAATAAAAAAACATACTACTGCTGTTACAACCGCAAAATTTCTCGTCGCTGCTGCTGCTCACACGTGTTCATCGCAATCCATCGTCCTGCTTTCCCTGGGGCATCCTTCCTATGCATTTCACTCGACTTGATTGGAGCAGCGCAGTTGAGTCTGACATGGGGGTTCGTTTAAAGCATTTCGTTTTCTTTGTCCACCGCGACGTCCACTTGGATTGAACTAAATTTGTGCTGTTTGCGAGAAAAAGAGCTTCGAATGCAGACACGATACACTGCACTTCGTATGCAAAGGCAGCAGAGCACAATTAGTCCCTAACGAAATCGCCTCAAGATAATTTGTGCCTCAGTTTGCCACTGCATGATTCCCTTTGGAAGATAATGCAGTTACTCAATGGCCGGAGAAATCAATAGTGCTTGTCAAAGACAACAAGCCACCAACGTTGTTAATCCAATTAGTAAGCCTATAGTCCTATCACTGAATTACAGCAGTATTCTCGTGAGTGTTGATAAAATACCGCCGCTTACTAGGTCAACATGAGAACTGCCGAACGGCATCCATCCGATGCGAATCGACTGCAATGTTGCACGACTTCCTGAAGCCCTTGTCCACACACCTGCAACACTGCTTAATTTGACAGGTCCGGTACAGAAGAGACCATGTCTCTCAAGCTCTAATTCCTCTTCTAAAGGGGTGGGCGCACATGAAGGGGACATTCTCAGCACTATCACCAAACTCCAGGCACCTTAAGAAGTAGAAAATAATTTATTACGAGGCCGACCGGATTATTAAGCTCTTTTAGTTGGGCTACGAGTGATGCTGACACAAATATGAATGAGCACTGAAAGTCTGGCATTTCTATTTTTGCTGTATACCCTAGAAAGCTATAAATAGATAAAAAAAATCCTTACATAAAAATACAAGGCCTCATTAATCCTGATGCGGCAATAGTCAATAATAGGGTCGGTCATTCTGGGGCACCTTTAAAAATGGAGTGTAGAAAGTCAAGGAACGGGGTTTAACAGGTCGAGCGATGATGGTTTCGTCAGAGAAGTCAGATTCGTAATCTCCGTAGCCTGACGTTTGACTTTCGTAATCATCATCGACGTACTGTGGTTCTTCCTCATACGAAAATCGACTTCTCCCATGAAAAGATGAGGCAGGTCGGCCACTGTCATAAAATTGCCTGCTAGGAGCATATCCATGGCGATAACCTCGCGTAAGTTGGTCGGTGTTGCTATCAAAGTCATTTCCATCTTGGTCGTAGTCGGCGTCAAACCCTGTGGATCGGCTTCTTCTGTCAAACCCAAGTCCCCCGTTTCCACCCAGTTCGGCGTATGTAAGCCCATGCCTCATTTTAGTAGAGCTCGATTTATCCGAGGGCTCGTAGTGGACGCTCGTGTTGGAACAAGAACCTGCGTTTGATTGACGATCCTTCGAAATATCAGAAGAAGCAAATGCCGTATTCCTTGGGACGTACTGCCGATGTGAGGACTCCGGTGAAGCCTTAATACCGCTTTGGTTTGCCGGTGAGGCCGCCTGTGGTTTATGCTCCTCGTGTTTCCGCAAGAATGCGCAGAGTTTTCTGCGGTCACCATCGTCGCTGACAGTTAGTTGGTAACATTTATTTTTACCTTTAGCATTTACTATTAAACGCACTACCTCTGGAGATGTCTCGTCCAATTCAACATCCTTTAAGTCTTTGTAGGCGATTGTGCGTTTAGCCTTCTTCTTGTTTGGTGAGTAGAAGCGAATATCATTCTTGAAGACCTTTACATCCATTGTTTTGTCGCTTTTCAGATTGTTAAGTTCATCAGCAGATGTAAAGGACTTTGGTTTAGACGTTGGAATTTGGGAGAGGTAAATTTCTGGTTCCTCCTCCACATTTTTCTTTGAGTTTTTATGTTTTTCTTTCTTTGTTTTCTTTTCAGAAGTCATTTGCCTGCAAGGAAGCCCCACACACGAATGAAGTTAAAACAATCTGCATCATTAGGAGTGATTTTGGATTCGTCTCATTCCTCTTGGCATCATGAGCCAATCAGATGCGCACTTAATGTAATCTGCGTTGGAGTGCAGGTATGTTGATTGCAGAGGCATATGCGAGCGATGCTGTGTCTTGCATCTCACATGCTCTCCGTGTGCGCGATAAGGCCTCCTTTCGATTAGCGGTGTGAGGATAATTTAATTTCGCGGATTTTGTGGAGGTGAAAACAGGGACAAAAACGTGCTTGGTTCGACTTGAATGCTAACCAGTTTTAGAACAAATGCTCACCAGTAGGCTGCCGGATGATGCGAGGACGTCTCGTCTCTGTCAAGTTAAACATTGTGGGGTGTGACAAATGATTTCCAAGCATTACTCTTCATGAATAACTCTCGGCTCGGTTAAAATTGATTTATTGACTGGCGTAGCTGGGTTTCGGTCTGATGCGTTAGCATTCTCAACCTCGACGTAATTTGGTTTAAAATTAATTAACTATTTTCTGCAACCTGTCAAGCATCCCTGGTCAAGGCAACATAACATTATTGAGACACTTTAAGTGGAGTGTTACGCGAAATTTGGGGCTTTCCCAATGCTGTGGAACCAGCAATTTTAAGGTAGCTGATCTTTACTGCTTTTGAGATCGAGTAATTGAGCGGGAATTTAAGCATACCAACAATAATTAAAACATTTCTTTTGGTTAGTGGACTGTACACATTTTCAGTTGAGAGCTGTTGCTACAACCTGTAATCAATATCAGGCAGGTGAGCAGGAAGCTTTAACATTTAAAATTTTGCTTAATTCGTGTGCTTTCAGAAGCAAAATATGCTATGAGATATGAGGTCATTTGATTTTACACCTAAAAAAATAAAAACTGAGGGCATGAGCATGCAGCCAGATGAGTTAGTTGACTACTTTATGTTCACATAATTAGCTATTTCCAATCAAGCAAAATCTTTACCATTTACTTGACCGAGGAAACCAAAATCGGGACTAGAGCAATAAGCGGAGCTTTCCTCTACGTACAACTTGTCACAGTCACTAGAACTAACACAGTAGAATCCCCGATGAAGGGACTTGACGAGCCGGGTGACATACCTCAGCCACATGCCTTATTGATGCAATCGGTTATCCCCCACGTCAAGTAATAGGCTTTTAAAATGCTATGACCTTGTGCACAAAGAACAAATTGTAAAGGTAGTAATCAAGCAGGTTTCAATAATGTTCATAACTTGTGCATGTAGCAATGTTAGACTACTTTTGCATCACTCATATGTGTGTTGTTGTGATGTTGCGTCTGCTTAACTATCCTATTCTTTGATAACACCCCTCGAACCGGGCAACAGAAAAGATTGCGTAACGACGACTAGACCAGGCAGTCGCAATCTCTTATTCACCCGCCAAGTACGAACGTGTCCCCCAGCTAAGTAGACCAAAGTCAAAGTAAGACACCTGCCATGTCATGGCCAATGAATAGAGTTCGTGAGGCAATCAGGCATCTACCACATCTACACAAGCAGATGTTTCTGGATTTACCAAATCCGAACTGATAATTAAAAGAGACCATGTGTTAGTTGAAACGATTGATTAAAGCTCCCGTGTTTAATTTCTACACCCACATCGACTGTGTCGTGGGTACATGTGAAGCTGAAAACAGACTTACCTGGTATTTCAGTGACCCGAGCACTGGCACAAA